TTCTAATAGTGTTTGTAAATAGGATATCATGTCCGCATCTTGTACAGCAATTAACCACTAGGAAGAATGTATGCAATGTGTTAATTATTGAAACTGCCCTACCAATTTGGTTTGAACTCATTGGTATTTGTTTCTCAATAAAATTATGGGAAAAAAATAATAAAAATAACTACTTCAGACCCTCTTACATATTTTAGTTCGTATTTTTGAGTTATTGAACTTTTATATTTTTTCATCTTATTTAACAATTAGAAGTAAAGTTGGTCCTGCACCATACATAGTTTGGGAAGTACTAGTTTAGAGTCTTATAACTGGGCTCTTCTCTTAGAGCAGTACTGTAATGTGAATTGTTGGTCCCCAGATAAGCAACTTACGTCAGGTTGTCAGTCACTTGAGTCCCTAAACAGACTGCTTAGTCGGGTGGACCTTCCCTCTCCTGGTTTTGGTCAGAATCCTTCCTTGATAAAGAATATGTTGAAAATGTTCATTTATATTCTGCTGTAGCTTATTTCTTTGTACACTAGTAGTCTAAAAACTGTTCTAAACAGTCTCAGCACCTGTTCTGTTCTATTTCTGACCCGTGGATTTGCATTTTGAAACGAAGTGTTTAGAATTATCAGAAGTAATCTCAAACCTGCCTTAACTCCTGTTAGGTCTGTGTTAGCATGGAAACTCCCAGGGCCGCGAGCAGGTACCTGTAGGTGTCCATAACCCTGGCCTGTTAGTGACAGTCAGAAATGAGCCTTCATTCGCTCCAGCGGCATGTGGTTTCTGCCCCTCCACAGCTCAGAGCAGTGAGAAATTCCTGAGAATGTTCTGAAACACAGCTGAATCCTTTGATACGAAGTGCCAAGCAGAGATTATAAAGCAATATTTAACATGTATGTGAATCACCAGGGAAATTTTTTAAGATTTTGGTTCAACAGCTCTAGGGCAGGGACTGAGATCTTGCATTTGTAAAAAGCTCCAGCAGTCCTGATGGTGCTGTCTATCCAGTGAACAACATCTCAGTGGTAAGAATTTAAGTCCCAGTGACAGCTTAGTGATCAGAATAAAACTGACATGACACCAGTAATTCAGAATGTAGTTGCTGTTAGCTTGAGTCTTGCTGTCTTTAATCTAAATCATAATAATAGGTACATAAATAGAAGAAAGTCTTTAACAAAATACTTCCTTCAATATGTTTTATTTGCATTTTGTCTCTTTGTAAATATAACTTTTAAAAATGTTTATTTGATAGATGAGAACACAGACATCGCTGAAAACCTGTACCAGAAAGTTAGAATTCTTTGTTGGGTTATGACAGGCCCTCAAAATCTAGAGAAAAAGGCCAAACATGTCAAAGCTACCTGGGCCCAACGTTGTAATAAAGTATTGTTTATGAGTTCAGAAGAAAATAAAGACTTCCCTACTGTGGGATTAAAAACCAAAGAAGGTAGAGATCAACTATACTGGAAAACAATTAAAGCATTTCAGTATGTTCATGACCATTACTTAGAAGATGCAGATTGGTTTATGAAAGCAGATGATGACACGTACGTAATACTGGACAATTTGAGATGGCTTCTTTCAAAGTACAGCCCTGAACAACCCATTTATTTTGGGAGAAGATTTAAGCCCTACGTAAAGCAGGGTTACATGAGTGGAGGAGCAGGATATGTACTAAGCAAAGAAGCCTTGAAGAGATTTATTGATGCATTTAAAACAGAAAAATGTACACACAGCTCTTCCATTGAAGACTTAGCACTGGGAAAATGCATGGAAGTTATGAATGTGGAAGCTGGAGATTCCAGAGACACCACTGGGAAAGAAACTTTTCATCCCTTTGTGCCAGAACACCACTTAATCAAAAGTTATCTACCCAGAACCTTTTGGTACTGGAATTATAACTATTATCCTTCAGTAGAGGTAAGTTTGGAAATTTTATTACTACACAAATACCTGGGATTGATTGGCTTTGTTGACTTTTAATAAATAACAGATTACCAATATGTGTATATTTTAATCTCACTAACCAGAATTCTCTGTTAGTCTTTTACTATTGTAGTATAACAAAGCAAATGAAAACAGAAATCAGCAGTCGTCCTTTAACTGGTGTTTCTTGGTACTGAAGTCTGCCAGGCTCTGAGAGCATAAGCAAATGCAGTCACGCTTCCGTTCTTGAGGGCTGTACATTCTGCACAAGGCGAGTAACTTTCAGCAGGCAGACCCAGAGGGATATGGTTGTAGGTACTGTTAAGTACTGCGAAGAGAAAGAACCTCAGAGTGACCCATAATTGGTGCGGTACTGTAGTTTGGGTGCAGGGCCTTTCTAAGAGGTGACTTTTGAACAAAAATCTGAGTGAGGCTAGAGAGCCAACTGCAGATCTGCTTAGTGAGCCTTTTAATCATCAGGAACAACATGATAGAGAGTCTTGAGGTTCAGAAAGACGTAGGTTCAAATTCTGCTCTCCCGTTTAGTAATTGAATGACCATGGCATGGACAGAATTCGGCTAAAGTTTGAACCTGTTTTCTAACTGCATGTAGCAGTTACATGCTAAGTGTCTAGTAAGCGTGGCTCTCATTTGGTGCCTTGTCTTACATTCCTGAGAATTTTGTCTAAAATACATTGTTGAAATACTTCAAGTATGCAGCTGTTTAAGGATAATATGATACTTTATTCTCACCACCCGGTTTTACCAAATGTCATTCTTTTGTGAAATTTGCTTCAGATTTTTTGCAACAGAGAATGTTATAGTTGAGACTTCCATACCCTCCCCATTCTAGTTCACTTCCCTAGAACTAAGCGCTATCTTACTTACTCATCGCTGGGAAAAAATACCCAACACCCAGCATTAGAGAGGGAAGGGTTTATTTAGCTCGCAGTTTGTGGAAGTTTTAATCCATAATCAGCTGGTTCCAAGGCAGAGAGGCAGACAGAAGAGTAGCAACAGTTCATGAGTCAGAAGGCAGCAAAAACAGCAAGAGCAAAAGAGGGAAACGAGCCTCTTTCTGCCCTTCTTGTCTTACCCAGACTGCTGGGATTAGGGTGGTGCCAATGGATTGTCAGTGATCCAGCAGTCACCCAGCCTTAATCCCAGGACCCTCAGTCCCAGCATTGCACCGTGAATCCGTCTCACATTTTACATTCATCTGTCTCCAATAAAGCCTACCCATCCCCCTTGACTGCACGAGGCTTTAGGAGAACATCCAGACACAAAACATAATAAACACTACCATATAATAAATTTAATATTGCTAATCGTGTATGTTTATTTTTCCTTCATGTTAATGTGTTCATAAATCTAGTATGTGCACACTTTTAAATAAATAGAATTATGCATATGGACTTTTCCACATTTTCCCTTTTCACACCGCATTGACATAGTTATGTTAGTATGTACCTGTATACTTTAAACTGTTGCATAATCTTATATATAAACCAACTGTTCCGTGCTGATGTAAATGTAGCCTGGCACGAGTTTTCCATGACGAGCTCTGCTACGGTGCGTATCTGGCTGCGCGCAGGAATCGTGAAATCTCGTTTCTGGCCCCGGCTCTCTTATTTATGTCTCTAGACAAGTCACTAGTTCTCTATGCCTTTTCTCTGCCTCGCTCGTATTAGAGGACAGTTTGTTGTATCTCTCTCTTCTAAACAAGCCAGTGCTTTCTCATCATTATCCAGAATAATTGTTCTCTAATAGAGGCAATTTTGTTTCCCACGGGACATTTGGCGGGTATGGAAAGCATTTTTTTCTTACAACTAGGTTGCTACTTCGCGTCTAGTAAGTAGAAACCTACTAGATCTGAACCATCCCGCAGTGCATAGAACAAACAGGATTATGCTCCACAAAATGTCACTAGTGCCAAAGTGCCTCATCTACAAATGTGTAGGTGATCAGCTTTGCAGGAAATTTTGAGGCAAATCACTGCTGTTTTTCATATCAGCCACCTGTGTGTTCTTTGTGTCTACACAAACACGATAGATAGCTAAACCTTACAACAATTCTGTGTGTAATAGGTAACTGAACGAAGGCTCAGGAATTCAGTCATTGGCCTGAGCTGCACATCTCCTAGGCCCGGGGTGGCGGATGTATGGCACGCGGGCCACAGCGGGCGGTTGTTAGCATCCAAAGCTCTAGCAGGTTCGAGATGGCTGGGCTGGCAGTATTGGTGCTGTGATTCTGTTCCTTTGTACTGCTCGTCAGCTCCTTTCCGCGATCAGCAGGATAATGTACCTGCCACAAGGCGGAGTGTATGCTAGAGTAACGGTTATCTTGCTCAGGTAAACTTTCACTTCAAGAACTGAGCATTTTAAGTTCAACTTAATGTAATGAGATTGTTGAAACTTTATGCTGTTTTTTCATTGCTATTGCAGCTGCAGCAATTTAAGACTGAGATGGAAGTACAGTACTCCCAATCCGCTTTTTGATAATCTGTTTTTCTTTTGTATTAGTGAGGTGCTGCTTTGGATGCTTTTCTGATACATACCTTCAGTCTGTTCTGATCATTGCAAGATGACTTGACCATTCCCCTTCTAAATTCTATGCCCATTCTCATGTACAAATATATTCAAATTTGAGAACATTACAAAGCATGTACAAATATGCCCCAAAGCATATAAAATTTTACTAAAATAGTACAACAGCCAAGGGGCATCATAACTGTCCTTATTTTGTAACCGGTGAAATATTCTCCCAAGAGTGTTACCCCTATTTACAAAACTTATTTGTATATGACATCTTTTATTTAAATCGTAGTAGTTTCAAAATGAAGGAAAAGTTTGTTATCCCCTTAAAAATTTATTCTATTCTATTGAATATCCTAAAATAAAGTCTGGAGCACTGAAATTGACTGCATTTTCTAAAATTGCCTATTACCAAGACATTCTACAAAAACCCAGCGACACCAGAATTTTGTTACTCATCTGTTACCGAAGGATTTTCTCCATATGTGAGTTACTGTCGTCAGTCTTTCTGGATATCTTGTATATACTTTTTCTTTATGGTAATCACTATGAATGTAATGTAGAAAATTCTTACCTGGCAAGTAAGGATGAAGATAATCAACTATATTAAAGTTACATTCTTAAGATACTTGTTTAGAACTTTTTTTTTTTTTTTTTTTTTTTGGCAGTTTTCTTCCCATACCACCATCTAATTTCATAGAAATCTTTTAGACAAGGCTCTTCACCAGAATGTTTGTAATATTTTTTAAAATTAAGTTTATTGATACATTTTAGATATAATGATCACATTCATTCTAAGGAGTTTGTACTTGTACATGGTATATCTTGTTTTCTTTCTTCTTGCCCTCCTTCCCTTCAACTCTTTTTCCCTTCCTTATTTATAGAGCTTTGTTTCCATTTTTCCTTTTCCCATTTCCCTTCTTTTCTCATCTTTCCCCTTCCTTTCTCCTCCCTCCTTCTCCCTAGTTCCCCTTCCCATTTGAACATTATCTATTTCACAATATCTGTTATATATTGTGGTCCTCATTGTTTTGGTTTCCCACATCATAGAAACAACGCAGTATTTACACATGTGTTTGAAAATTATTTCACTTAATAACATCTCAAAGGGCATCCATTTACCTAAAAATCTTGTTTATCCTTCTTTATGGCTAAGTTGTATTAAACTACAGATTCTTTATCATTTATTCATTGATTGGCAGTTGATTACAAACTATGCTACTGTGAACGTGAGTGTGCATATATTGCTATTTCTTTTACAGAGATTGCAAGAAGGGGAAGAGCTGGGTCAAATGGAAGCTCTGGTTTTAGTTTTTGAGGAATGTGCCCTCTTGATTTCCATAGTGGTTACACCAGTCTGTGCACCCACCAACAGTAGAGAAGGGTTTCTTTTTCCCCACAGCCCTGCCAGCATTTGCTACTGGTTGATTTCCCGATAACAGCCATTCTTTCTGGAGTGAGATGGAGTCATGGTGTTGTTTTAATTTGCATCTCTCAAATGACCAGTGATGTTGAAAATTTTTTCATATATTTATTTGCCATTTGTGTTTCTTACTCTGAGTGTCTGTTCATTTCAGATGACCAGTTTTGGAGTGGATCTTTAAATTTAAGGAGTCTTGATTTTATTCTTTATACATTCCAGATCAGTCCTTTGGGTCTTTAAATTTAAGGAATCTTGATTTTTTTTTTAAAGCATTCTTTATGTATTCCAGATATTAGTCCTTTGAGGAATAGCTGGCAAAATATTTTCATACACTGAGTTGTCTCTTCATTCTATTTTTTATTTCTTCATGTAAAAGTTTTTTAAGAAGATCCCAGTTGTTGATTCTTGGTGACAGTTCTGTGCAATTGGTGTTTTGCTCATAAAATTTTTGCCTACCTACTGTCTCTTTTTCCAGCAGATTTTCTGTTTCTGTTTTAATGTTGAGATCTTTGATCCATTTAGATTTTAGTGTAGTGCATGATTAGAGATATGGATATAGTTTTAGTTTTTGGCATGTGGAAAGCCACCTTTTCTATCACTTTCAATTAAAGTAGCTATCTTTCAGTGAAGGTGTTTTGCCTCTTTGTTAAAGATAAAGTAGTTGTATGTAGCTATGTCTACATGTTTTAATCAATTCCATTGATCCTCAGGTCTTTTTTTGCCAGTACTATGCTCTACTACTACTACTACTACTA